ACACCTCTTGACAGCAAACAGAATCTCCAAACCTTCACTGTATTTTATATACACAAGATAATTTCCTACAGAAGTATGATTTAGATTTGGCAAGACTTCAACTCTACAAATGAAGCTGAATCCAGTCTAAGGTCATGTTCCCTGCAGACCATGGAAAAGTTGGTGGCCTGTTGAACTTTGACCTTCATGAGTTGCAGTCTCATGACTGAGTGAGTGCCTAAGATTCAGTCTGACGCCAGTGGAGATGCATGGAGCGACCATCATCCCAGGGCTGAATGAAGACCTACACTACACCAACTTGGGCCTGAAACAGCAGAGCATTGTTTTGGACAACACAGTGCCCATGCTTTTATCTCAGATTTGACAGTGCCAACTGAGCGGCCAGAACTGCTCAGATATTTTCTAACTGCCTGTTGACCGATGTGAAACCTTTGTATGACGGTATAATGGCCTACTCATCCATCATGCTTTTGTGTAAATAATGCTATGGTTCCTTACCAAAGGTGCAACTTCTTCATGCATGGTTCCATGTTTGCCATGGAAGTCAGATTTTGCCCATGCAAATCTAGTAAGACTTTTATAATGTAATTCATGCTAGTGACTAAATCATTTTGAACAGAATAACTGTAATTCTGATTAGTCTGATGAGTGTAAAGCACTTAATTCATTATCACTGAGCATCCTAGCATAACTTTTAAGAAGTAATGAGGTCAATGGAGTGGAAGGAAACACTGTTGCATTAAGTTGAGTTCCCCTCTCAGCTTTAAGTGACAATTCACCCAAAAATGAATAATCTTTTACTCTTTCTGTCATCCCAAACCTTTATGACTTGATTTCTTCTGTGGAACATATTTTGAGAAATGTTTTATGTCCATACAATGGAAGTCAGTAGTAACCAAAATTGTTTGGTTACCAACATTCTTCCAAACCTCTTTTATGTTAAGGTTTTGAACATGAGGGTCGGTAAATTTATAGAATTTTCATTTTTGGGTGAACTGTCCCTTTACCCTGAAGTGTACTATAGTCGATGCTAATCTGAGACAAAAGGCATAAAAAACGCTGCTATTTTGGATATCAAAGTGCCTTTTTGTGGCATGGAGCTACCCAATCCAGCTCCACACATTTAGGACAATTGAAGTAAAGAACAGATTTCTGCAGCATTGTTCCTGTATTTTTCCCTCTACGTTTGTGAGAGGATATGAGGTTGAGACTTTGTTTCAATGCAAACTGAAAACACGTATAAAATACATAAACTTTTAATGCTTGTATTGAGTGAACTTGAGTCATTAACCTTCACATAATGTGTTGACTCCCTCTAGTATCCTTCATAAAATAAATCTGTGAAGGGCTGTGTGGCCCTTTGGTATTAGCTTGTTAGTTTTTTGAGAAGTGCTTAATATTTTGTTAAAGTCCCCATGAAATCAAAATTAAAGTTTTTTGGGTGTTAGTATCAATATGTTAATCTTAAAGGGGTCATATGATGCTGCTAAAAAGAACAGTATTTTGTGTATTTGGTGTAATGAAATGTGTTTATGCGGTTTAAGGTTCAAAAAACATTATTTTCCA